AATAACATATATTAATTATTATTTCAATAAAAAAATATATGATGAAATAATTAAATATATGAATGAAGAATGGAAATATGAATGTGAAAATATAGAAGATATCAAAAAAGAAATATATAAAATATCATATTGTATTTCTAAATATCAATAAAATAATTTTATAAGATATTGAAATAATGAAATTAAGAATCTAAGAAGAAGATCAAATAAATTAAAATAATTATTAATTAACAAGAATTACACTAGAATGAAAAGAATAAAGAGAAATAAATAATACGATGATGAATATATTAATAATAAAACATCAAATTAAACAAATAGAATATTTAATTAATATGAAGAAGAATAGAATAAACCTTAATAAATAAGATAGAATAAGAATAAATAAAAATAAAATAATAATAAGAAATGAGAAGAAGAATAAATAAAATATATAATATTATAATGATGAAATAATAAGATAATAAGAGATGAATATGAATTAGAATTAATAAGAACTATTAATATATTATGAATAAAAATAATGAAATCTGAGAAATGATGAAAATGAATAAGAAATGAATTTGGAAGAGATTTTATAAAACATACGATAAAAGAATTAATAAAAATGAAAATAATGAAATATATTTATTGGTACAAAATAAGAATGAGTCATCTATAATAATAAAATATTTAAATAGTAAATTTAATGTATATTAATAACTTGAAATTAAATAATGTAAGTAGTCATTTAATAAAATAAATTGAAAATAAAATGATATAAAATTAATAAGTAGAATATTGATGAATATTAATATAAAATAAAATGATTATAATTAATTAAAATTAATGTAAGAAAATGGTATAATTGTATTAATTAAGAAAGTATTAATTACATGAAATAATAAATTAAAGTGGTGTAGTATTTGTAATGATAAAATAACAACAAATGAAGATATATTATTAAATTATATTGTAAATAAGAATGTACAAATTAATAAACATGAATTAATAAGAGAATATATCTGGAGAGATGATAAATTAAAATATAAAATAAATATAATAAATGAAGAAGAAATGGTGAAGAAAGTAAAAGAGAATAAAATGAAATTAATATTCAATAAAAATGAAATAGGTTAATTCCCAATAAAGAATATAAAACAATGAAGTGTTCATTGTATTGAATCAAGAAATAGTTAATAAAAGTGAAAATTTCATAAAATATCAGATATTTATATAGAAGATAAATTAAAACAAGTATAATTAATCATTGATATGACAATAGTATGTAATAAGAAGATATAATTCTAGCATTTACTAACAAAATTGAAATGTATAGAATTCTCCATTTCAAAATAATACAAATTAATAAACTAAAATGAAAGTAATTGCAGTGGTAAAAACAATAAATTGAATAATCAATAAAGAAACAATAAGAATGATAAAAGAACAAAGTTAATAATTCTATATGAAATAATGGTAAAAGATATAATAATTATAAACATGAAAGACCTAATGAAATACTGTGGATATCATAGAGGTGAATATAGAGAAGTACCTCATGAACAAGACTATGAAGAGAGTGAATGTTGTAGTCTTACCTGAGTACATTGAAATAGAAAAATAAGATCTACCGATACTTAATTTATTAGTTTTTATTAATTTAAATAATAACATAACAACAAGAAATTAGAAGAAAATAAAGAATTAGAAAAACGAAACACCATTCAAATAATGATATAAATGAAAATGAGAATGAAATAAAAATGAAAACACAAATAAAAAAAAGAATAGTAATAATTCAAATAATAAATAAATGATGATAAATAATAATGAAAGTAAAATAAAAGAATGACAAGGTGGAAATGACAAAGAAATAAGAGATAATAGTGATATATCTGAAATCAATGAGACAATTGTGATAAGAGAAGAGAGGAGGAGAAAGGGATAAATCGAAACAAACAGTTAATAACAAATGCGAAGAAATAAAAATAAGAACAAGAACAAGAAGAAAAAGATAAATAATACACAACAAAGAACAATAACGCAAAATAATACAAATACAACAATATGATAAAGAAATTTAACAAAGAAAGAAAGAGAGAAAATACACTGATAATAAAGGCACAACAAGAATGATGGTAAGATCAAGGAAGAATAAGAAAAACAAAGAAACTACAAGAAAAAGACATAGAGGAATAAGAATAAGAAGAAGTGAATACAATAAACAAGAGATGATAAATGAAAACACAACAAAAGAAAGAGAATAAGAAATGAAGTGAGTGAATTTGAAATAATTAGGCAAATATAATACGAATATTTGAATAAAAGAAATAAGGAAAAGTACGAAGAAGATAAATCAAATATGATAAAATAAAGGACAAATAAATTCAATCAATGGGAGAATGGGTATTGAAAACATTAAATCCATAAAAGAATTAACAAATGAAATTAACAATACCAAAGGGCAAAAAAACTTGAGAGATGTTGTGGAGTATTGTTTCTATCACAACCAAACACAATTTGTGAATTGAACAAACAACAAGAATCTGACTAATCTCCCAAGACCATGAACAATGGACAACAACTCTATTAATACTTGACTAACTCCTTTTTAGTTAATCTGTTTCATCTTTGGATATTCTATGAAAAGAGAATTAAACGCTGTAATGATACTCTCGTACCAATTAAAGAAAATTAAAAAATATTCAAATTAATAAAATTAAAATATTCAATTCATTCTTCAATAGATCAGATATCTTTGGAACATTATTGTCTGCATTTTATTTATAAAAATAATAAGAATACAGAGATTGTTATCATCATTTCAATTGAATTCTACTTTTTTTAGTTCTTTTTCAGTTCCTTTAATATTTTTTTTTAATATTTTTAAAAAAACAAAAAAAAACAAAAGAAAACAAAAGAAAACAAAAGAAAACAAAAGAAATAACAAAAAAAAACAAAAAAATTAACAAAAAAATAACAAATGAATAAATTATCACAGCACCCAATTTATTTCTTTGAAGATGGATTTAGAAGAGTTATTCCTTATTATAAAGAATTTAAAGTTAATGTAAAAGGCAGATGGGTAGGAAAAAGTGTTGAAGAAATTTATGGCAGTGAATTTAAACATATTTCAAAGGAAGAGATAGTTTGTTGATAACAAAGAAATAAAAATATGAATAACAAATACTAAATTTTAGCAACGACAAATTAATGAACAAATAACTTATTTAATTAATAAAAATGGAATTAAAAAAGAAACATCACTACATTCTGTTATTGAAGAACATGACATTTTAATTAGTAAATGTCATTTACATGAACCTCCTGTTCCAATTAAAGAAATTAAAATAATAGAAAACACTCCTGAATTTCTTGTTATTAATAAACCATCTGGAATTCCTGTTCATCCAACTGGAAGATATAACCAAAATTGTATCCTTAATATCCTTCTTAATGAGCACCATTTCTCTCATTTAAAACCTGTTTATCGTTTAGACAAAAATACCAGTGGCGTCCTTCTATTCGCCAAAACTAAAAAGTTCGCTTCTTCCTTTCAATCATTTTTAAAGGAAAAGTCATCTGTCTTTTCTTCCCCTTCTTCACTTCAAAAAATTTATTTGGCTAGAGTAGTTGGTTATTTTCCAGATTTTATTGAAGTAAATCTCCCTTTACATTTGATTCGTTTTGGGACTGAGTCCCAAAACTCTATTTGTGAAGATGGCGTTGAAGCTAAAAGTAGTTTTAAAAGACTTTTTTTTGATAAAGATAGTAATACAAGTGTTATTGAATGTATTCCTCATACTGGAAGAACTCATCAATTAAGACTTCATCTCAAAGCAATTAATCATCCAATTGCAAATGACTCTGCTTATTTATTGAATCAAATCCATAATTACAGACAACAAGATGGAGACTTTATTCGTGAAAATAAATGGAGAGAAAAGTATGGATGGGTCTTTGATAAAGATTGTAATGACTGTAATTTCCCTAAAGGTGATCCTATAGAAGACCAAATTTGGTTACATGCTTGGAAATACTCATTTAATTCTCATAATTGGATTGCTGAAATACCTGAATGGGCAGAATTAAATTTTGATGCAAGAAGATCTCTTAAAGAATGGAAAGAACGAATTGGGTTGGACGTACCAAAACAAATAAGTACAGAATAAGTGAGGGAAACTTACTGGATGAAAGAAACTCACAACAACCTTTCAAATATGTAGAATTTTATTATAAACTATTTTTAAACCTCCGTCTATTTTCTATTTTTTTTTGATTAAATTTTTCAAAATAAAATAGACAAAAACAAATGAATTTTTTCCTATCTTGTTTCTTGTTAATTTATTCTTTTAATTGTATTCTTCAACATCTTTTTTTCTTTTATCTTTTCTAGTTCTTTATTTGAAACTTCTTCTAAAATTATAATATTGAAGGGTATTGAATGTTGGAACTATTTCTCATTTTTTTTGTTTTCGTTTATCTTTCTTTTATTTTAATAATTTCATTCTATTTTATTTAATGTAAAGAAAAATCTTGTTAATCGTATGGTATTATTTTAACACAGTGTTTTTGTTTATCTTTATTTGATTAATTGTAAGTAAACAGTTACTGATAAATATTGATTGTTCAATTAATCATTCATATAATTATGATCATTTCAAAACATTTAATAAAATCATTGAACGTTGTGTTTTAATTCAAATTAATACTGTTAATATCTACAATTAATCAAACTTTTTTTATATTCATTTTATTCAATTTTGATAAATTTAAACAACTATTATAATGGCAAATAATTAAAAATTGAATAAGAATGATTTAATCAATGTATTTATTGTGGTGATATGAAAATAGTTAATTGTCAGATAATCATATTCACACTTTATTTATATTAAGAAGTCATTTTTTATTTCTTTTCAATACACTCAATTAGATTTATGATATAGAGTTAATTTCTAACACACTTACAATCAAATTTGATGGTAATGATAAGAACAATAAACAATGAATAAAATGAAACAACTCGTAATGATAATAAATAAATGTATTTATTTAATAAATCATAACATTTTCATATTTAATAACAATAATAATACAATCTATTAATGCAAAGTTGTTTGTTGTATTATTTTAATAAAATAGTTCACCATGTTTATTTATTCTTTATTTTCAAAATAAATTCATTATAAATTCTTCTTTCTTTATTATTGTTATTGTTATTTCTTTATTTCTTTCAAGATAAAGAAATAAATTATATAAATCATTTTTTAGAATTTTAGATAAGTAATTAACATAAGAAAGAAGAGAAGTCACTTGTTCATTTAAAAAATGTAAGAAACATCATCATTAATTATCTTAAAATAATCACATATTATTAATTTCATTGTCTCAATATGTTTTGATATGAATGTAATAATTTATTATGTTATATATTCATTGGGATTGTTTTTTATCAACTCATTCAATTCATTCTTTATCTTTCTTATTTTGTTATCCAAAAGAAAATAAACTATTTTTATAAAATAATAAAACACAAGATAAATCTAGATGTCATATTTTATTAACATGAAGATATAATATCAAATAAAAATATTAACGTTGTATAAATATATAATTATATTGTATTTAAATAATAAATAGAAGTGATGTATGTAGAAACTGAAAAATAAAATGTATAAAAATATGCAACACTTTTAATATAATATATCAATTCCAACATTAAATATCTAAATAATAAAATAAATGAAAAGAAGGATAGATAAAATAATAAGAAAATATAAATAAAATGAATAATAAGGAAGATATATATGAATATAAGATAATACAATGAAAAATAATAATAAAATATTTACTATAATATAGAATTTGTTATTTTCAACAAAATGAAAATCTTATAAAATAAGAAAAACAAAAAATGTTATTAATAATATAAATATAGAAATAGAATAACAAAAAAATAAAAATAAAATATTTTTTGTTATAAAGCAAAAAGAATTGACATAAATTTCTTTCATCCAGTAGCTTATTTCACAATCTATAAAGTAAACACAAAGAGAACAAAAATTAATATATTTAGTTTAACAAGAAATATCAATCAACAAATAATAGTTGCATTAGTTTGTTTATTGTTTAATTTATTTAGATGGTTAATTTTCTAAACATTTTTATTTTTGATATTCCATGTTTATTTTCTATTTCATTTCTTTCATAAAAGTAATGAGGGTAATAAAAAAATACAAGAAGTGGTGATGAGTTAATAAAAATTAATAAACTGTTTTTTTTAACCATTTGTTCTTTAATACTTCATTGTAAACATGTTCCATTTAATTCTTCATTTGATTGACATGTTTTATCATTTCTTAAATATTTATCATTAGAACAACTCATACAATATGTAGGTGTTCCATAACATGTTTCACATTTATCATCACATTTTAAACATTTCATGTCTTTTGTTAAATAATATCCTTCTTTACATCTTTTAC